TATTATATTTATATATATATATATATATTATTACATGTACAGCCACTTTGCAGATTAATAGTATATGTACGTAATAGTTCGGAACAGTCAGGAAACGTACACGTACGCGTGTTGACTAGAAAATCTCACTTTAATTTTATCATGCCTTGTACTTGTATTGTTTATGGCTTTGTCGCAGTTTAACTTAACTGACTCAAGTTTGCCTTTATATAGTCGTGAATGCTTGACAAATGCTAATATTACAGTAAATAAATTTGTACATTTCATTATAGTATGGAGGTGTCTGTCGACATCTCGATTAAGCACCCGTAGAATTACTAGCAAAACATCAACAAAGTATTTATTTGATATATAGATATTTTGTTTATTATTTTGGAAACAAATTGATGCAAATAAGGACACTTCCGTGGTGTCCAACATACATTTCAGGAATACCTCAATGCTATACCATAAGTACCTCATAAACACAGCAAGTCATACATTTTCTAGTTTTTATTTCCGACAATGCACAAAATCCTCTAAAAATACTAGTGTTTTCAACAGTCATTTTATAGTATTATAACGTAATGTAATATTACAAACATGAATTATTTATCTAACTTTTTCAAGGAAGGACTTTCACAGTAAAAACTTAACCTTGACATCAAAAACGTTTATACTCTATTTATACCTGGATGAGCACTTTTTACAGTTTCTACCGATTAACCACACCTCAAACAACAATTAAACTGAAACCAGAGGGAAATCATGGGAGGTCTTCAATTGCACTGGTCTAAGCAGATTTTATAAATAGCAAATATACAAACATATAACAGTTTGGTATTAAATGCTATGCTACTGCTATAACGAAGACGGAGAGAGAAGTGGAATCAAATCGTAAAAAATAAAAATAATTAAAATATTACCGAACTATGCGATTGCTGCCGCTAGAGGACGCGGTACTGGTCAGAAAAGTGGCGGTAAATTTTGTGCACGTGCACGTCGTGCAGACGCCAGACCAGACGCTTGAAAGCAAGGAAAGTTGCGTTTGCGTGGTAAGCAGTTTTATTTCGATTATTTTATGGACAAATACCTATATATATCCACATACTACCAGTATTAAGATTTATTATATAGTTATTGAATGTTCGACACCAACCAGGACGAACAAATTACACGTATAATACACATATGTCATATATGCTCGACCGAGTAAGTAAATTATATAGTACTATTACTATTAGTAGGCCTACAGTGCGAGAAACACATATATATGATATAGGCCTATATGCAGCTAGCCAGTTACCTAGGACTATACTTATTTTAGCTTTTCGCTTTTCACTACTTGCATGGAGGTCGTGACGTCTGAACGTTTTAGAAGTGGCATATCGATCTGTTACTGTTATAGCGATCTTATAGCAGACTCAAAAGAATTAAGTGGATAATATTTAACAGCTAGGGCTCAATTTTAACAGTCGTCCGGTCGTCCGTGACAACTTGATTTTCTCTCGGGCAACTACAAATTGCTTCCGTGGTTGTCCGGTGTCATGCAACCTCTGTAAAATCAATAACCTGAGCTCTCTATACCATGCAGTGTTGGCGGTACACGTACAGTATTCAGGTATTTGAAATCTGGTATATCCCCCCCGAAAGATCTGGTATCCCTTTTTTAGATAGTAATTTCAACAATGTTGGTATCCAAAACTTTGAAATAAGCAATAATGACGGTGCGCGCTTCTTCTCGTTAGATAGAAAATTACTAATCAGCAGAATGCTTTCTTCCTATCTGATCCAGCATGGTGGCCTAGTGCTGCCATCTGTTCTCTGTAGTGCTGCCGTCTATCTTTCCTCTCATTTCGACACTCGAGGGCAGCACCAAACAATCACAACAACTCTGTGACAATTCGGCATGTCACATTATTAAGATATTATTAAAATAAAAAATATACTTGATTATGTACTCTTTCATTTTTAATGTCAGCAATAATCACAGTTTAACATTTAAAAGAATATTGTTTACTTCACTTTTATTCCTGTATTCCCTAGGTACTTCACAGTTCCATGCTTGGTGAGATGATGGAAAGCTCAGACCAAACATGACGCCAATAATCTGTTTGATCGTACAAGATCCATGTTCACATCATTTCAAATTGTATTGATTGACTGATTGATTGATTTAATCTTTTCAGGGATGGCGGTACATCATGGTACGAGACCCTATACCAACCCTGAGTCGACGATGGTATGGTGGTCCGGCTGGACATCCGGCACTGGCTGCACAGATGGATGCCGTGGTCATCAAGCAGACGCACGCCAAGTACCGCATCTTCATCAGTGCCCTGTCTGGAGCCATATTGGCATACAACAGCGACGACATGATGCTTCTCATCTCTGCAATCAGGAATGGAGACAAGGAGAAGTACTCGTCTCTATCTGATTCAGAGATGTTATCCTTTGTGAAGCCGTACCAAGCCGCGTCATATGTCCGCCGTGTAACTCGTGGTGTTCAGGTGAGTCATTTGCAAACTCATAAATTAGAAACCATTAATTCATCATCAGTTTATTTGTAAACATAATATTATTATTTTATTTTTATGCTATGAAATAGAACTATCAGGATTCCTGATTAAATATTAACTGTAATTTATTACCCCGGATTACTATTTTATTTTAGGTATAAGGTATAACAGGTATAAGTCGGAGACAATTTAGATTCTTCAATTCAAAACTTTATATACTGACACATTTTTATTAACTTATTTTGCTGTCGTTATTTGTTCTTTCAGGAAAGTGCTGCTGCGGTTGAGCACATCCTGAGTGAGTTTAAGGGACCCGCAGGACTGGACATCGACGGCATCGCTCTTTTCAAATCCAATGAAGCAGTAGATGCTCACTGGGCGACTGCTAGCAAGCATCTAAGTTGCATGCAGGTGTGCCCATACTTTCTTTTGACTTATATTAACAAATGAGGGGTTCTCGTGCTATTATGTCATTCTGTTATACAATATTTAAAACAATCTACACCTTTAAAGTAGAATTTTAAATAATTAACTAATTACAGAGGCACTAAACTTTCCATATTCTTTTTCTGTGACAAGCATCGAGCACAAAAGAAAGACCACTAAATATTATTGACTGCATTGTAAGAGACACTCAGCAAAAGTAATACAAAACTTTGTGGAACTATGATGGAACGGTAATGCTAGCCAAACATTGTCATTGTGTTTTTAATGTATTTTACTCGTAGTTGTATAATTATTTCTTTTCGTTGCCTGTTTTTCCCTCAGGATCCGCCCACCATCCCCCTTTATGTGGCTATGAAGCCAGTTACCCTGAATGGCGTCCGGCTGACAAAGTTCCGGTGTCACAGAGGCAGCAACGTGCTGGAGGGTCTCCACTCTCACCTGCTCCATGCCGTCCCATCACATCGTTGCGCCATCATCCCCTTTCAGGTGCATATAACATCTTAATAAACATCCTAATAAACTTACCAACATCCAAAGAGTAGATAAATTAATCTCAACTCAGTATCAATAATTTCAAGCGGATTGTCAAAGCTAATCCTACATTTTCTTTAACTCTATCACACAAACCTTTCACAATTGTGTTTGTATAATACTTTATTTACTGTGTATAGCAATAAATTTACTCTATAAGTAACATTCTAAGTGCTTTACACTTGAATAGACTACCTACATTTTGAACAATATTTGTTCCTTTTACATTATTATTTTCTTTGTTTATTTTGCAGGTTTACCTCCTTTCCTTCGCTGTCCAGTGGAACAGCAGGATGGAGAAACTGAAAGTGGTCGAAAAGAAGGGCAAAACGACAACTACCACCGACCCGCGACAAATCCAGCGCATGAACCATCATGCTGAGATCCTGTTCGGCAAGAACCACCTCTACGAACCGAACTTTGTCGCCCCCATGCAGCCACCTGCCGAAGCTGAAGAGGAGGAGCTACTTGGCGTAGAGTACGTTTACTCGCAGTCATCTAAGTCGGCCTTTTCATCAAAGGAGTACTACATAGATAAAGGTGAGAAATACTTTCACATGTCGTGTATGTGTAGGAATAATCAAAACATCCAAAACTGGAGTTAGTTATACACTACATCTTCATTGCTCCATGTCTAAAAGACTATTTACTCTTTACTACTTCTTCCTTTTATCTGTTTTTTTTCTACAGCTGAAGAGGAGGACTGAAATGAAGCAGAGGTAGATTCATACTTTAATTGTAATGTTTTACCATACTTAATTGTTTTTTTCTTTCTTTGATCTGTTTTTCCTATAGCTGAAGAGGAGCATGCGGTGAAGAGGATGATAACGATGGCAACAATGATGAGGAGGACGAAGGGATTGAAGATGCTGCAACAGATGATGCGGATGATTCTACAGTCTCTAGCCCCATGGATGCTGTGAGCACTCAGCACACCGTGTTGACAAAGGAGGAACACGTACAAGAAGAGATGAGCCCTGTCATGCAGGACGTGTTAATGAGGAGCCGACACTTACACTTGCCTGGTTTCGAGCAGGTGGAAGCCCTCGCTTTGCTGCTGGTAAAGCTGCTGGGAAAGCAGCATCTCATCCCATTAGGGCTCAGAGAGCAAATATCACAGGCTGCAAGTGAGCTGGCAGAGCACGACAGATCTGCTCGAAACTTTGTCAAAAGGTATGAAAGTAATGAAGAAAGGCAAACATTGCCCCCAAGGTAGCAGGCATACCAGTCCTTGTTGTTTTGCCCTCACAATCCAGAGCACGTTTGGTATCATTTCCTTCAACAAGTGGTACTCCCTTACAGATAAGGCCTGCCCCTCCGAAAGTATTAAAGCCAACGACCCGTATGCTCCCAGATCCATCCACAAAACCTTGTGCTGCTTGCAAAGAGCCTCAATGTCGAGGGTTGAGGAAACGGTACACGCGATCCAAGTCAAAAGTACTTGGGAGCAAGCAAAAAATCTTCACCTTCTGCCCGCAAACAAACAGATCAACAACTCCGGGTTTTGAGAGACAGTATGAAAGTTATGAAGATTTTAAACGGTCTGTGGATAAAGAGTTGGAGAGAAGGAGGAGTTTGTCTGAAAAATTAGTTGTTGAAGAGTTGGAGAGGAGGAGTTTCTCTGAAAAATGAGTTGTTGACCTGTCGGTTTTTAGGCAGAAGGTCCCATGCTTTATTTTATATTGTCATCATGAATGGTGATTTTTATATCACCAAACATAATGCCAAATCTTGCATTTTTTGTTCATCTTTATATAACTCAATACACTGTAATTGAGTTATATTATATCTTATTATATCTTATATCTTATATGAAGTAGCGATTATTATGCATTTTTGGTTAAAAGTCGTTGAACTTCATTTTTTGAAAGAAATATTATAATATCATCTTGTATTTCAGGGATATATTCCTTATATTTATATTGTGATGATGAATGGTGATTTTTATATCACCAAACATAATGCCAAATCTTGCATTTTTTGTTCATTTTTATGCTCAATACATTGTAATTGAGTTATATTATATCTTATTATATCTTATATCTTATATGAAGTAGCGATTATTATGCATTTTTGGTTAAAAGTCGTTGAATTAAAAGTCGTTTATTTATAAATTTATGTGATTTATGTGATATTTCCTTTATTTATGTGAAACGAACAATACAAAACAACGAACAAACACAGAAACAACATACATAATAACAAAAACAAACAGGCAAATAAACATGCCAATAACAAACGTTTTTACCACAAGGAGCCAAAATTTACACGCAAGTCGAAATTTACGAGTTTTCCGCCGGGCGATGGCGCGCCAAGCGACGGCGGGCCGGGGGCGCAGAGGCGCGGGCTTTCGACGTCGCGCGATCACTAGTGATCGCGTTGAGCAAAGGACCTTCGCGGGGGCATGGCCCATTCCCGCAACTGCACCTCCAAGTAGATGAGGAGTTTTTTAACGAGCAATCATTGCTCTCCGTTACTCTTTGCTTCAGAGGAACAGACTAATCATTGCTCTCCGTTCCTCTTTGCTTAAGAGGAACCAACCAATCATAGCCCTCCGATGGGCAAAATGGCAGACTCCATGATACTCGCTGTGACGATAAATATCACGTAGAAAATCGTATTAGGTAAGTGAAATCCTATCGTTTGTAGCAAAATATGATGATATATAGTTTGAGAGTATTACTGCAGTTTGTTTGAGTGTTTGGCGACCAGTTTTTAACTATATCTGGACAAAACTTACGTAGCATCGCTGTGTTCAGTCCCGTATATGGCGTATATTCAATTTGATGTAAGTGATGTCAGTTAGATCTAGATAGGGCATCTATGCCTAGGCTATGGCCTATGCGCAACATATGATGGAATATACATGCGTCTAAACAGAGGAATTGCTCCGACCTGTCATTGCAGATTGCATGATCAAAATACAATTCGTCACGTTTCGTTTCACCGCTCATAGCCGGTGACCTATGAGTAATTATATATTAATAGTAATTATACTAATAATACTAATAAATATAATT